TGCTCCCTCACGGTCACCGCTGTTCCTTCACGGTCAGCGCCGCCGGTCGGTAGAGCGGGTAGGCCTGTTCCGGGCAGTTGGTGGTTAATGCCCACAGGAGCTGTGGGGAGGGTTCCTTTTAGTCATTTTAGGTCTCCTTAGTATCTCCTTCCCGAAAATTGAGGAAATGGGAAGAAAAAAAAAATTTCGTTCACCCGTGTAGGCCTGGTGTTAAAGTGAACAGTTACCTTTTTACTAAATTGAAGCTTAAGAATGAATTTTAACTCAGTTTCTGAGGAAAAACTGTGATTTACATATAGTTGTTATTCCAAACAAAAACCTCCCAGACTTCAACCACTGCAGAGCCCATACCTGCTAATGTGTCTTCCTTTCTCTGTGGAAAATAATACCAAATAATAAAGTTTCAATATCATCTAGTGTTGACAGCCTGTTAGGTTGTCTCTCTTGAATAAGTTAGTGGCAATAAAAGCATCTTCATACATTTTTGGGCAACTCTTCATATTTCTCTTGAGAGCGGTGTTTGAAAGCATTTCTTGCTGTGAAGCAGTATTGTTACATTAGTACTTAGATCTTATGCCAGGAGGCAGACAAGCTTATGTTTAATTTATGTAAGTGGTAGAATATGTTCATAATTTTAAACATTCAAAATAAAGATTATATACAACAAACTAGTATATTAGACAATATTGCAAATTACATAAATGAAAAAGCCTAATGTTTATTAAGATTGCAATACTGTTAGTGGTTAATTTTTAATTTGCTTTTGAAAAGAGATTTAGTGGACATGGAGCTGAAACTCATGGGGGTAAACTGTTTGAATTTCAAATCTGTTAGAGGTATCTCATACCACTTCATTTTTTCCTGAAAACAGTACAGGACCACAACCCATTTGTACATGTCAAAAACCCATAAGCAGATCTTTAAAAAATCATTGCCTTTTATAATTTTCACTTAAGGCATGGTTTTGTTTTCTTTGCCAGAATTCATGGTAATACAATCAGGTGAAACAGAACATTTTAAACTCAGCTCAGCTTTTGATATTTGTTTCCAGTTGCATATTTCCTCATGTCAGTGGATAAGTGAAACTAATATTTGAATACTGTGTTCTGAAGCGGTGAACCTTTTTTATTTTCAGTTGAAGACAAAACATGGGACCTTATTGTACTCCCACTGTGCATTCAACTTTTAATTGGAGTTTTAGATTTATAATACCTTCTGCCATGTTTAATTGGTGAGGCAGTTCTGACTTTTTAAATCTCATTTTGCTTTCACAAACTATTTCAGTGTCAGGTTTAATAGACTGAATAAAGATACTGTACAGTAATTGCCTGTAATGATCATGTAAGCTTCTGAAAGCAAATTATCAGAGAAAACATCCCCTTGGGTGAACACTGAATTGCTGGAAGTGTACCAAAAAAGAAAAGTATTGGACAAATGAAAAAGCAAGGCTTTTCTTATAGATATCTGGAAATTTCTAAGCCATATAAGCTGGTTAAAAATTTGGAAACAGAAGAACTCCAAATGAATTTGCAATTATAATACCATGATTGCTTTTTAATTTGGGCCAGATAGACAAGTACGATTCAAAGACTAACTTCAAATCCAGCCTAGCAACTTTACTCATTTTTTTTTGTTGGTCAATTAATGATTTATTTGAAATGGAAAACGCTGATAGTTTTTGTTTTTAACCTGAGCCATGAACTAAATTCATCAATCTCCCATTGAGAGGAAATAAGATAATTTGAGATCACATGTTTAGTGTAATTGTGATTGAATGGAATAATTTTTGAAGGACGCATATCACAAGCACTGCTGTTTGTCACCAGAAGCTAGTACTTTGAATCTGGGCAGTTCTATCTGTACATGTAAATAGGCATTTGAATTGTAAGTCTCCTGCAGTTACTTATCTTATTTAATAGCTTCATTATTCTATGTTTTAGAATGTTTTCTGTTGTGATTAAGAAAACCACATTTGCATTAACACTGCATACATTACTTCCAAAGGGATTCACAGGACCTGATGGTTCACGTGGAGCCACAGGACCAAAAGGACAGAAGGTAAGAACAAAATTATGCATGAAATTACGGGAGTTTTTTTAAGTAGGATTTTTATTTGTCTCTGTGCAACTAATGGGATGCTGCAGCCTTTCTTGCAATATTAAAATCTCTATAAAATACAGACCCACCGGGTCCTTTTCATATAGTACAAAGCAACTTCCATTCCCTCTGCCAGCAGTAAGGAATGGTGGCATTACATTGATGACATTAAATTTGAGCATCTTCAGTAACGGTGAGGCTCTCTCCATCTTGTGCTGCAATTGTGTCATAGGGATACGCTGTGGAAACCAGAACAGTGACACCTGACTTCATCAGCAATCAGACCAATGAAATATACATCAGAAGTCAGAGCATATTTGAATTATTTTTTTTGGAGGGAAAAAAGGCCTCAGGCTGTATATTTTTAATATTGAGAAAGTCTTTCCTTTCTCTCAGGTCTCACTGAGACCAGCGTAGCATTAATGAAGTGAATAATAATTGCAGAATATGTCCACTAAATGATACCCTCCAAAAGGGGAGAGCATCTTCCTGTATGTTGTTTACAAATCTTTATGCTAATACCTCTTGAAAAACTCCATTTTTATCTTCTGAAGGGTGAACCAGGACTGCCAGGTGCTCGTGGACTGCCGGTAAGTAATACATTTAGTAGATGAAGAGGTTTTTTAGACCTTGGGTATCAATATGAAGGATTCTTATCATTCATTGAAGTGAAGAAAAGCCAGAAACGATTTCTGAAGTTTGAAAGAACTCTTAAGATATTGAAGTAGTCCATTAAGGAACCTTTTTGTCTTTATTTCAAAGTATGCTGATATTACTGGAGGGGACATATTTGCTTTGTATGCTGTAAAAAGAAAGGAGTGTGTGTGATTTGGTCACAAGTTTTGGAAGCATACCATTGTTTTCCATCTCTGAAAATGCTGTAGAGACAGGAGAGCCTGTGTTTTATTTGTATAAATTAGTCTACAGTTATTCCTGTTTCAGCTCCTTGCCATGTGTTTAAACGGGATTGCAGAAGTGTAAATGCTACATAGGACTTTCTGTGCTGTTCCACATGAAAACAAGACAAAATAGGAACAAGGACATACAAAGAGTACTGCTCAAACTGGCATGCAGATGGATTAACAGCCGTATTTGGGGGCTGTAAATAATTGTGATTTTCAGGACTTTTACGGGGTTGGAGAAGTGAATGATGGTTGGCATGTAGAAACTTAGATTATACGGGAAATCAGGAAAGCTTCAAGGAAAATGAATAACGGAGCAACATGAGTGGTATAAAATTGTAATAGGGCTGCACATAAGTAAAATTTAACTAAGAATTAGATTCCTTTTGGAGAAATTGTTGGGATTAAATAGGGGAAGCATTGTATTCTGATATAGCACTCCTTGCTGTGAAATCCTATATCTTTGACCATATTTTTGTATTTTTGATCCTGTCCCATTAACTTTTACTAAATTTGTATTACACAGTCATTTTGATATTTGGCCAGAGAGGAAATTATAATGTTATTCTTGAAGAGGTTACATTATAGACATGTTCAAACTTAAGATGAATCATTCTATCTGGACATTTGTGTTTCGTTTTCACGGATGCTGTTTCTTACCTGAAAATCTGGAGCCTGAGTTAAATTGGTAATACTTTTATAATGACTAGTCAATCTGTGGACTCAATATACAAGCTAAATATAGTTACAGAAAATAACAAAACTGAGGTAGCTTCTGGGTAGACTCAAGGGCCTAAGGTGGGGGTTTTTGTTTTGTTTTGGGTTTTTTTTTCCATTTTCATTTTTTGCTCTCACATAGTTGGGAAAATAATTTCTGGGTCATCTGCAATACATTTTAAAATGTTTAGCTGGAATGAAGAGACAAGTTAACTGTCAGATTTGTTACTCAGATGATATGGAAAAAGTGCACATGAAAATAACCACTATATGAGAGAAAAGGTGAGGAATTAAAACCAAAATACTGAAATATTGGAGGTTAAAATACTGTAGTAAAAACCTGTCGACTCAAATAAAAACTGACTTAGGGAAAATACACATGATTTTATCTCATTGCTCACAGACTAATATGAGACATAATAATTTTAAAAGCCTTCAGAAAAAGTGGGTATATAAAATATATATAAAGAGGGTTAGTCTCAACTTAGAAGTAGAGATGTTACTATGGGAAAGCAGCAAACTGGACCAACTTGTCAAGGTGAATGCTGATTACATTCAGAGCAGCACTTACCTCATTCAGGTCTTGTGTGACCATATTTTGAGACTGCAAAAGCAATAAATCTCATGAGATTTTTGGACCATTGTTCAAAGTTTAGTGATTTTTTTGCTGGATCTGAGACTTTCAGTCTTACGGTGATAAGGCTTCACTGAATTTCAGTTGGGATTGCCTTTGCAGTTGTTCTGCCTCTGTTTAATAAGCAACTGGACCTTGTATTTAAAGGTGAATCTGCAGGAATATTTATAATGAGGAAATGAGAATTCCTATTTATTTAAAGGTAAAGAAAAGATGGGTATACTTAGTCACCTCATGTCATTACCCTTGTAATTAAGGTTAAGAACTCATATTTTAGGAAGAAGCTTAGTGTTTGATTTTCTAGCTCCATGGTTGTTAACCTGTATATGCTGAATCCATATGGAAAGTTTAATGCTCAAAATAAATCTCTTGGGGAAATTCCATTTATACAGACTTTCCTTTTGATGAATGCCTTTAAGCTGCTGAAGAAATAGAGCAGTTAGTGCAAGTTTCTCAAAATGGTCTATACTAATCATCTCACCTTTAGTGAGATTAAACTTAGAGTAATGAAACCTAATTAAAAAAAAAAAAGGTGGCTAGGAGTGGTAGTGCTGGAGTGTGATGATTCTAATTCTCAGATTCAGAGACTTTTTGAGAAGCTCTTACTACAAGTGTGGAATAGTGGGGCTGTTTAACCTTCACAGGTCTTTGGTTTGATCCACAAGACCATGCTTACTAGAAACACAGTGACCACACTTACGAGTCTGCGTACTAGTTACATGATTAATTGAGTATTTAGATATAATTATGCACTGCTTTGAATTCAGGCAGTGGCCTTCTGCAAGTGGAGTAGTCTCTGGATGGTTATCCAAAGATTTCATTTCTCACAAAAACCCCTTGCTGAAGTTGTTAAAATACTCAGTGCAAACAGAAAGTCTTGGCTACAACATTAGTTAGTTTTAAATTATTATCACTGTTTTTTAAGCTCATCCAGTAGAATTTATTGGCCAAGTTAAGACCTCAGGGTAACTGAAAGAAAAAATACTAAGTATCTCCAGTTTTATATGCAGCATTTGCTTTTCTGCTTCTGTCATCCATTCTTCCCCAGAACATATACTGGCAATCTTCAGTTATCTTCTTTTGCTCTCCTTTTGCTCTCCCTTTGCTCTACTTTTTCCTACTTCATCATTTAGTTTTATTTATTCTCTTTGTCTCATCTCTTTTGTGGATACTGTCTCAAATAGCAAATTTACAAAATCAGTAGAATACTTCTGATGAATTCAAGTAATTTACCATCAAATATGTTGATGTCTCTGATCTGGCCTTTGTAAATGGACCTGGGGCTGCTACATTCAGTGCATGTATTGCACCCTCCAGTCCGTTCTCTCTGTTAAGTTCCCTCTAACTTTTCTGTTAGCTGATACATTGCGGTGTTTTACAGATCTGACATATGAGTAGGATTGCGTGTATTTAGCGATAGAGAAATTGAAGATATTTAAGGTCTACTAAAGTACAGCTTCTGGCACAGGGTACACATACAAATACTGGTATGTGACTCTTCATGGTAGATGGCAGCAGGTCCGTGCTGACAACATGGAGGTACTTACCAGATCTACAGGGTGAGTGTCTCTGAACCAGGTGATTGCAGACTGTGGGTTACTGCCCACACCCATGCACTCCGTGTGCTCTGTGGGTCAGGTAAGCACCTCCAAAGCAGGCATCTGGGGATGTAAGGCCGCAGTCCCAAGCCGTGTGGAGAGGCTTCCCCTTTAGGGACCAGGCAGAGGCAGGAACATGCGCAGCTGGTTGGGCTCATTAGCTGCTCTGTGTAGGTCCTTAGTGGCTGATTGCACTGGAGCTCTCAACTCTGCCAGCTTTGCTTGCTGGGAGTTCATGGCCAGAAGGGTGGAGTAGCTGGGTGAGGGGAGGCATGGGTTGCTGGGCAACAGACTGCTTCTGGGGGTCCTAATTAGGAGGGTGAGGAGATGCAATGGAATGGGCAAAGGGTGGTGGGGGGATTGTCTTCTGGGCCTGTGCGTGGGCTGGACACAGTAGCTGTAGTTGCTTCTTTTGGTGTCATATCACTGACTTTCCCTGCCACTGTCAGGGGTGCGTTAGGAAGAGGATACCCCAATGGGAACCTGCAAGTAGTTGGTTTCCTTCTTTCAGAGGCAGATGATATTGTAATGTCGGATATGTGATGCAGTGAAAGTTTAATTTGTATAGTCAAATATAGATATGTATAATATAATGAATTGCAGCAAAGGAATGTTCAGTAATAGCAGAGGAATTATGTAGATTATGCAAGATGAAAAAGTTTACATTCTGCTGTGTATTAAATGGTTAAAATGGAATGACTCTGATAAATGCTTGAAATTTTCCCTGTGTTATTCCAAGTTTTCTAAAGACGACCTTGCAGATACAGTCCTGGTATGATATTCTGTGACTCTTAAACTCCACTCAGCCCAGGTGCTGCAGCCCCAGATTTAAGTATGTTTGTGATTTTATATGCCAGTGTTTCATACACATCATTGACACTGTTCTCCATAAAATTATCTATTTGCTTTAGTAATGCAAGACTGAGGGATCTGTTTTATTAGAGGGAGTATATTGTCCAAACAGGCAGAAACACATTTGTATGTTGGACACTTCTCATTAAAAAGATTCAGAGCAATACTGATGGAAAATGTAAACAGGAGCAGTTTGGTGTTCTTTCTGATTACCAAAAAGCATTAGTTTAATGGATTTAGACCTCAGGGAAGCAGTGGCAAAAAAAAAAAAAAAATTAAAAAATTCTATTTTATTATCAATTTAAATGCACTGTTAGAAGGAAATGATTATAGCATACATGTGTTTGTCATGGTACTTGATAATTCGGTAAACCCAAAGGCTTCAATGTCTTCATTCCTTTGTGGAAGTACATGTGTTTGTAAATATGTGTAAATAAATGCTACTGCAAGGCAATGTAATCAATAATTTACTTTTTCTCCTGATATCAATTACCTAGTAATAAAATTCATATTTAACATTAGTTAAACTAGTTTTCAAAATTATTTTGCAGAATCAAACATCAGGTTTTTTGTACCTTTTTATCCCCAAAACTGTTCTTAGCAAACAGCTTGACTTGGTGTGGAACCCTCCCTACATTTCTGACCTTTTTTCATATTTCACAGGGCAAGGGGCTTCTTGGACCACCTGTAAGTATCATTTTTACAATTCATAAATATGCTGTTTAATGAATCTGTTTAAATATTCAATAAAGCTGTTATACTGTAATAAAAAGTAATTTAGTGAAAAAAGAGACTGTTTTAATCCTGATGTTCTATGTCTATTATGTATGCTTTCTTCATCTACTACTGAGGTTGCTTAGGTATATGGGGCAAGAATACTGGTGTCTGAAGGCACAGTTTGTTGTTTGAGAGAATTACATGTTCTCACTCCTTGGATGCTTGTTGTAGTGGTATTGTATGATCTAAAATTACTATTTAACTTGGTTGTTACAGGGTCCAGCTGGTGCAGCAGGACTTCCTGGGGAAGTAGGTCGTGCAGGTCCACCTGTAAGTACTACCATGTTTGCTAAAAATGTAGGTTTATTCAATTGCTAGAAGGTGCTTACAGAAAAAATGAATAATCACCATGCTATCTAAACACTATTTGGGTTATAGCGCCACTGGAAAACATTTTTTTTCTCTGCAGTGATCACTGGTAGAGGACAGATTTTGTTTGAAGCTCATTGGAAATAAGGAACAATTAATAGCACAAAGTCAGGGCCACCCATTAGATTAGAATTCTATGTTTCATATAGTGTCCCATACTCTACTTCTCCTCTTGGTCAAGGAAAGCTAAAATAAAAAACCAAACCTGCCAGAAATACAGTAAATGTAAAACTTAACATTACATGCAAAACTTTAGCTTTACTGCTGTCTTCTCACATATACATTATGGTACATGACCACATACTATTTCTCTTTTCCATTTACGTATCAGTGAATGTGGCAATTCGGTAGTTCTTCTTAGTCTCATTTTAAGTGTGACTCCATCTACTGACCTTACTGTGCACTCACTTTCAGCACACTCATATTTTGACTCCATGCTTTATCACTGGCATGCAAATTGAAATAAATTGTTAATTTTTTACTTGAACTCTGAAATAGCATTAAAAAATTTTGTTTAATGAAGCTTACTTTTTAATGCATACCTCTCCCTGTGTGTTGCAATCTGTCATATAAATGAATATAAAAAAAATATTAAAACCTGCCAATTTGTTTCAGAAGACTATCCATGTAGCTTACTGTCTTGTCTGTAGCATGGGCAATAATGGATACCTAGGAAAGTGTATGGGCTATTTGTAAAATGACATTTTTCTGTCATATTGTCCCACATTCTGGCAGTTGGCAATTCAGAGACTGCCTGAATCAGAAATTGCATCTGTGCTGCCTTTTTCAAAAGCTGTATATGACACTATCCTCCATTAATGTAGTCAGTCCCTTTTTGAATAAATTTCTATCATGGGCCTCTGCAAAAGTTTGTGATAATGAGTCCACAATGTAATTATACATTGCATGGAAAAGAAATATTCCTTTTAGTGTTTTTAAACCTATGGCTCTATAGCTCATGCATTGTGAGAATTAGTGAATAATTTTTCTATATTCATCTTGTTCATTTCATTTTTGATTTAATAACCTATCAAACATAATATTGAAATGACAGTATTAAGTTAAAAGGTAGTCCCTGTCAATATATTAAATTTATTTTAATTAAAAGCATTCAGAAAAAATAATTTGCAGAGGTTCTGTGTTATCTTTACTTCTGAAAACACTGGACATCAAAACTTCACAAACAGGAGAAGATTCTAACTTGGTAAATTCATCCTGGGCTGTGAAAAAGGGGATTTTTTTTCCCTCTCGGTGCTTTGTGCATTTTTGCCAGTTAGGCAGTGTAGGATTCTTTTAATTCAGAACTTAATTTGCAGTTACAAGATAGAGGAGTGCATAGATGATCCTGTGGGCAGATGTTATGGCTTTCTAAAGCAGCTAAAAATTATTTGGTTTTTTGTGACTCCTATTCCACAACGTGGCTCCCATTCTACTAAAATATCAGTTTCCCATTCTACTATGGGAGCCATGTTGTGGACCTAGGTTCTGTAGCTACTTCATTTCTCACTGGTATTGTGTAGTATAAATATGTAACTGCTGGTTTTCATTATTACTATGAATCAACAAAATTACTTTACCCTTTTGCAGGGAGATCCAGGAAAAAGAGGGCCACCAGGGCCACCAGGACCACCTGGTCCTCGGGTAAGTGATTGCCTTTATTATGTGCTAATGTCTGAATTATGTATTGTTGCTGCTTGAACAAAACTTCTCTTCAAGTCATACAGCTGAGTCCTACAGCTGAGTACCGACTTTAGGATTTCAGCAGGCTATATAAATTCATCATGTCTTAGAGGCTTGTGTTCAAAGCCTGAGATACAACTCATTTAGTCATATCAACATTTGATCTTTCATTTACAAGTTTCTAGTCTTTATGGTTATAAAAGATTGAAATGCAAACTATGTAACTTCTGTCATGATGTCTTCCCATTTCTGCAAATGGTCTTAAACTGTAACTTTGACAGATTTTAAACTTCCTTGTGCATTCTAGTGTTACTGTAGATGTAGTCTTTGTTGGGCCTCACCAGTAGTACTTCAGCAGAGGTAGACTGTTCTCTTAGGAGGAGAAAAATTTAATATTTGGCTCCTGAGCCAGAAACATATGCTTCCAGGCCTGCTACTTGCAAGGGGTAGAAGAAAGCTTTACACCAGTGCTTTGTCTCTCTAGGGGAATGGTTATCTTCTTTGAGCCTCTTGGGAGGAGGGATGCGTGTTATGCCTTTGTCTTGTGGCTATTTACCTTCCCAAAGAGATAAAATGGAGTGTTTGGCAGACACATCGGAGGATGGGTGCCGTGAAATGCAAACTGCTGGGAAATGTGTCATACTAATGTTTTTTAAAAAGCTGTACTGTCCGTCTGCTGGACAGAGTCTAAATCCATATGTTTTATTTATGTAATGTTTCTTCTTTTCATGAAAGTTGCCAGAGAATTGGCAGAGGCATTGTAAAAAATGTGAATGATAAAGTGGAGAAGAGTATTTAGGAAACAAGTAAAAATTAATTTTCAATGATAGCGTATGCTGCTTCTATTTCTTGGGAGTTTTGTCCTTTTTAGATTTCTGAAGTGCCACAATCTCACTCCATTTGATGACATTATGGACCCAAACATACCTTCAGCTTTTTTAAAATCCTTCTGTGTAAAAGGAGACCAGATGATTCCTTAAACTCCGCTGTGCTTCTCTCTGAAACAGTGTGCTCCCTCTCACTGGGCTTTAGAGAATCCAGCTGCTGCTGTGAAGTCATATTTCTCCCTGTTGTGCCTCATAAGCCTCCCATTAGCTTCCATCAAGTATTTAACATGAGGAACGGCCTTTCCCCCACTGAGTCCATCTCGTTGTACACTGATCTCTAGTTCATTGCAATTCCGTTAACTGTCAGACATCTCACTCGTCTATCAATACTTGTGTTGTGGGAAGATTATTTTCTCTGTAAAGATCTGAATCTTCTGCTGAATGGTAACAAGGTGGAAAAGTGAAAGTTATCCTTATTACAGAAATTGTCTTGAGTTCTATTGGAAATATGCTCTATATTTAATAGAAAATGTTTTAGGTAGCTTAAAAACCGGAAGAAATATTCTGTTTTTCAGTAAAGTTGATCTATGTTAGAGGACAGGATTTGGCAGGTACCTGCAATCCTACAGTAAAATCCTACAGTTTATGTGCTTTCCATGTCAGAGATCCTTTGGTTGATTATACTTCTGATTCCAGCTTTAGATAGTAGTATTTTGTGGTTTGTCTAATGACTGTGTTGTCTGATAAGTCAGGTCTGGTTATTTCTCTTTTACTGAATTTTATTAATTTAATTTCATTTAGGGAACAATTGGCCTGCAAGATGGTGACCCATTGGTAAGATAGTTGGCCTTTTTTTTTTTTTTTTTTTCCCCCAAATAATCTCAGACAACCTTACTCAGCCTATGTGGTAGTAACTCTGTGGATGCTTTTCCAGTGTCCCAATGCTTGTCCACCTGGCCGCCCAGGACATGCTGGCTTAATGGGAATGAAGGTAAGAGAATCTGTTCAAGCATTCATTACAAAGATACTGTCTCAAAGCAATAGGGAGGGTAATTGCTGGCTCATGAGAAGGGCAGTTCACTGTTAATTTCAAAAAACATTGCATCAGTATAGATGCTTAGGGTTATTTTGACTCTTGACTGCCAGAATAACCTCTTGTTGAAGTCTCTTACTGCTGTTGTAATCTTTAGGGTAAAATTTCTCTGTGGTCCTGAAAGGATTAGAGTATGTGAAGGATCTCTTCATTCACTTTCTGGACCATTTGTAGTCTGACTGCAGAAACTCTAAATGTACCCCAAATCCTTAGTCTTTTTTTCCTTCTTTCTCTCTTTGGAGACCTATAACATACTAAATTGAAATGAACGCTTCTGGAGTCTCATTTTATCTAAGATTTTTTTTTTAATGTATTCTTTGCCTGATGAGGCTTTGGGCAACCTGGTCTAGTGGAGGGTGTCCCTGCCCATAGCAGGGGGGTTGGAACTAGATGATCTTAGAGGTCCCTTCCAACCCAAACCATTCTGTGATTCTATGATTCTAGGAATACAGTTGGCCTGAGGAAATAGTTATGGGGTAACATAAGAAGAGATACTAGCCTGCCTAGAACAGCCTTGTTAGATGCAGGAGCAAATCTTTTTGAACATGGTACTTAGTATGTGGTGTTAACTAGATAGGTATGGAAGCAGTGGTGAATGGGGATTGCAGAGGGAACAGCAAGATAGTTCTGAGGATTCTGTGTTGGTTTTGCAAAACTCAGGGTTTTAATTTTGAATAATTGCTATTTAATTATTCATTTATTTATTTATTTTGGTTTTTACATTTATTTTAGGGACAGAAAGGTTCAAAAGGAGAGTCTGGTGAACCAGGAAAACAAGGTTATAAGGTAAAAAATAAAAAAGGAAAACCTGCTATTGTGTTTTGGCAAGCTAATAGTAGTTTAACCTGTTCTTCAAAAACTGTGTTGTATTTTGTTAGAACTATTAATTGTTTTACCAGAATGCATGAAGAGATACTACATATCATAATGCTCCAGAGTAACAAAGGTATATATCTGTTCTTCATTCACCTGTACTCTGTATTCATTATGAAGATTATGAAGTCATAGTCCTCTTGCATTTTATTTTCATCATTCAATTTAATTATTATGGAATTCATAGCAAAAATGGAAGTAAAATTTATTCATTGGAAAACTTCCAAACATTTAAATGCAGAAGAATTTTGTGGATTTACCAGGTAAATAGTTTTGTGACACAGATGAGTAGTAACAGGAAGAATGAGAGGGGAAAAATGTATTTGAGAGGGAAGGGACACAGTATAAGTTCATGGGGCGGGGGGAGTGAGTGAGTGGCTGCGTGGTGCTCAGCTGCTGGCTGGGGCTAAACCACAACAATAGTAAAGAGGCCAAGTCTGATTCAGCTTGGAAGACTGAAATGTGAACTCCTTTAAGGTGTTTCATTTGAATTAACCTTGTTTAATATTGAAATATTTATAAGAAAAGTTGAGAAGATTTGCACTGCCTTGGTCCATGCTTCAATGCTGGAGGAAAAAAATCAGAGAAAAGTTGTTCTTTTTTTTTAAAAAAAACCCCAACCCTGCTCTCTATTCCTAAGCATATAGAAAAGAATATTAATTTATTAGAAACAGCTCACCTATTTTTTTCCCGGATGTTGACCAGTTGTCTTATGCTCCAAAATCCCATTTTGCAAATTAGACTGATAGTAAGTACTGTCGTTCCATACTGTGCACTATCATTGCATGAGAGGTTATCATCTCATCAAATAGGGGTTTGACCAGATAAGGCATTTTACTATTTTAATTTTCAAAAAATTCTGAGGGGCAATGTGGTATTGTGATGCAGAGCTACTAGCACATCCAGTCCATTCACATATACCTTCATTACACTAAAAGAACAAGAAAACCTAAAGAGATTAACATAAAGAAAAAAAAGAATGACAGATTAAGAGTAAGATATCATTCTTTATACTGGGCTTGCTTTAAAATTACCCTTTTGACTAACAGTTGAAGGGAATGTGAATCTAAACAAGTCTATGTTCTGAGGAGGTAGTGTGACTTCATTTGGATTTTCTGCAAGCAGGACATGTTGACAGAAAACAGTGAGTAGTAAATGTACCAATGAGAAAGCAATATGCATGGTGTGGATTAGCTACAGATGTATTCCTTTTGCTTTCCCAGGGTGAAGAAGGGGACCAAGGACCCAGTGGTGAAGTGGGAGCTCAAGGCCCTCCAGTAAAGTATTTCCTCTTAAATAGTGTTACCCATTTGCTTTATTATGTAATATCTTTTTTTCCTTATTATTCTAAAAAAACAGGTATTATAAAATCTCCACACACCTTTCTTTCTATTCTGCCATATCATCTATGAGTGAAAGTAGAATTTTTTAAGTTCCTCCAAAGACCTACATTATCACTTGGCACAAAGCTCTAAATAGTTCTATGGAAAGGCTCATTTTTAAAAGTATTTCATGTCCTAAATTGTGCAAATAGTTGGGGTTTTTTTGTTTTTTTTCTTTGGCCTTCCTTTCCATGATTATGATGACTCTGACTTCATCCTTGCAAAGCTAGTGTTTGTTTAAAACATGGATAATGTAACTGAAATTTAGGCTTAGCTAAGACTTGAGGATGGAGTAGTAGCCACTGAAGAACAGATTTATTTTTCTTTTATTTTTTTTTAAAGTTTTTTGCCCTTTTCCATGTCAAAGAAGCATCCTTCAATCACAGCTATGATTCTGGAATTACTTTCTTGTTCTGCTGTGCAAGATGCAGCTTCTGCTGTCCAAAGGGCCTGTGGGGACCAATTTGTTTAACTCAGTTGGGTAAAGTTCTTCAATGACTGTGAAATAACACAGTAGAATTAAAAACCAATTAGGGATTGACTTTCCTTTCCCTTATTTTATTTCTTTTTAATGCATTACTCATTTCACTTTGCTGTTTCACCAGTTGATGACCTTAAAACAAGCTTTAAAATAATTGTTTCTTATTAAAATGTAGGATTCATAATATGCAGAAAGTCATGTCAGATAGACAACCTATGGAAAAGAGGATAGATGAGGCCTTGGACGCACAGATGGAGAGGCTGTAGACTCTGTTGTATTTTCTTGTATGCTTCTTACATAAACGAATGTAAGTCTCAGATCTATAGAAGGGATGAGGAATCCGGTCTCCACAGCAGCACCTGCAATCCAACGCTTTTATGTAATGCATTGAGAAGAAGACTTGCATAAGATAGCCACCTCTGGGAGAGGTGTTGCTTTTTATAGACAGTAGTGAGTACCACAGTGTGCCTACTTCCATCTCTGAACTTGGGACAAGGATTAGACTGTGGGTCTGTCCCTTGTTGGGCTGCTGTAGTCACTGTTGCATTATCATGATTTTTCTCATGTTTTTGGCTGAGAAAGCTTTAAATATTCTGTGCAAGATTCCATCTAACTTTGTTAGAAGCAAGTAAAAAGGCTGCCCATCTAGAGTCTGTTCAAGGAGTAGGTTTGCTTATGCTGTGTTGAAGTGCCTGTAGCTGTTTCATTTACACAGCTGTAGTGCATTCTTGTTGCAGGACAACACAGTATGGCTGAGGGTTTGGTCTCTCTGCAGAGAGGATACATGTCATGTAGTTTGGGTCTCTCAGGAAGAGGAAAAAATTGAAGCCAAATTTCCCACGGGACTGTATTTTGAAGGAAAGTGATGATAGTTACGATACATCCTGCTGCACTACAATATCTGCTTAGTCCAGCCTCTCAGGTGTGGTGGGCATAGAAACTTAGGACTTGTATTCTCAAAAACCTTGCTCAATTTTGTCTACCTCTAGAGTTCTATAAAGTCTGATGGTGCCTTTCTGCTGCATCTGTCCTATGCCCCATTTAAAGACAACTTAGCACTTTTGCAAATCTGGCCTTCATGTGTTCCTCTCACACAGGCTGTGCAGGGAGAATGCTTCAACTCTCTGATAATCAAGAAGAGAAATCAGCAGTTTTTTCAGTCCTTAAGGCATATTTGTGGTTGTAGCATTCAACCTGATAGTTTTGTTATTCTTTTAAAAAGTCTTAAATTAGTAAAATATCAAATTGTTATATACATTAAATATTCTAATACAGAAGTAGCTGGATTTCTCCTTTTATACTAAGAAAATAGTAAAATAAGTATAAAGAAAGCATGTAGAACTCTGACTCTTCTGTCTGAAAACTAGGACAGTTCTGATGAAAAGATTTAAGCATAATTTGTATATCCTTTTCATTTTCAGGGCATCCTAGGTATCAGAGGTATAACTGGTATAATGGGACCTAAAGGTACCAAAGTGAGTATTAACCTTTCTTTCCATAAAATGGCCTGCATGAAAAAAATGTAAACCCCTGAATGTTTTAAAGCTTATTTAAATTTCTCCTTCTCCTTTACCTGCCCCCCCTACCATTTTCTCTCTCCTGCCAGCTGTATTTCGATAGCTACTGTACTTCTGGTTAGGAAGAAAGGCAGATTGGTCACTCTTATTAATGAAGTACATGTCCTTTTCACACCTTTCCCTCTGATCCTTGGATTTATAGTAGTTTGACATGTGTGCAAGTATGTAGTTAACAAGATAGCAAGTTATACCAGTTATAAACTATAGCATATTTTATTTAAACCTAAAATTTATTAAGTAGTCCCCCTCCTGTGATTTGTGTTTTCCTGAAGCCTTTTGCTTCCACTGTCCCAATTTTTGTCAGGATTTTTTTACTGAGAGTTTATTCTTTTACCATTCTTTCTGTCTCTTACATCTTCTGCGTCTTAAATTGCTGCCAGCAGGATTCATGTTTATATGGGCTTTGACTTTGCTGGGTAATTTTCCTGCTGTTCATGAAAGTGTTTCTAACTGTTATTTCAAAACTGACTGTTACATTTCTATTCTTATGATCTTGCTAAATCTATATGGTAAAAATTACTGGAAGGAGTAAAATGTATCAATCATGCCATTGTCTCTTTCTCCAGAGATGAAATCATGGAAACCTTATTCTGTGATCATCTTTGTTCAGAAACAACATCAAATTTGTCCTGAATCTTCTCATGAGTGTTCCTTCCTAACCTCTCGGACATATTTGCTAAGCTATTACTATCTTTGGTTTTCTGGCCTTTTTGTATCTTCTAATTCTTCCTAGTTATTTGCCTGCATTTTTGTACTGTTTTGTCTGTTTGAAATATTTACTGTATCTCTGTAAATCTTTTTGAAAACATTTTTTCCCTCCATTTAAAATTACTTACAGGGTAGCAATTGCATTGTTTCCTTGAAACATATGTGATAAAAATAGCTGCACTGCACTTGGTGATTTCTGTTCACATTTTGATGCTATTCTATGATGTAGTGAAGGATATATTGTTATTAAGGAAGACACAGACATTTTCTGAAGTAGCATGAAAAGGTCTACCTTCTTGCTGTCCAGTATGGATTTCTAGAGAATGAACTGAATGTCATTTTTTGAATGACATTTTGCCATAGCTAAAAAATACTAGCTTTCATAACTCCTCAGAAAAACAAGATAGATTAAAATAAAAGTTTCCCAAAGTTCCTTCTTTTGTTTTCTTTTGTTATTGGAGCAATAATAAACCCTCAGCTGTAGAGAATTTGCAGTGCTCAGCAAAACAGGAAGGAGCATAAGTTGTTAGTGTTTCAGCACTTCATTTTAATGTCTTGTGTTATCTGCTTGTTTTGCAGGGAGCTCGTGGGCTTGACGGTGAACCTGGTCCTCAAGGTCTTCCTGGTGCACCTGTAAGTAGAGTGTGTGTTACCAAACACTTCCCAGGGTCTACCCAGTTAGATACTAGGTCCTGAAACTTTGTGGCTGTGAATCAGAAAAGCCTCTGATTCCCCACAGATGAATAAATGATATGACAGTGATGTCAACTCCAGAATCTCTTACTCTCCCCAAGGAATTATGGGGTAGATGAGCACATTTTAGCCTCTTAGTGTGTTATTGTTACCTCTTCATTCTGACTGCTATTGTGCATTGGGTGGCTTGGAATTTTTCAGGTTTTAAACTGGAAAATATTTGTTCATTAGAATGAAACCTGTAATTTGTGCCCCCTTTTTTCTTTTCTTCTTCTTTTAATTCTTCCCTGGTCCCTGCCCCCCCCCGCCCCCAAGCTGGGATTTATGCTTCGAATAGCCAGTAACTGTATGGGTTGAAGAGGTGAGTTCAACATCCTTTGCTTAGATGCTCCTGGATACCTAGGAGATGGCTTGAGCTGTGTTTTTTAAAATGTAGCCATCAGCTGCATTTTTAAATATAGTATGAGTTTAAAATGTCCACTTCAACCAAGCATGAATTGTACTGTTGTTGATTTACTAGAGGTTTTAGCTAATAATACAAGTAAGTTTATTCTGGTTTTATTGCTAAAATAATCTTTTTTTTTTTTTTTTTTTCTCATAGGGGGATCAAGGACAGAGAGGTCCGCTGGGAGAGGCAGGTCCGAAGGGAGAAAGGGTGAGCACAGATAAATTTCAGCTCATGTTGACTTGCAAACCTTGGTTATTTATAGCATATAAACTTACAGCATAATTGGTCCTCTCAAAGTAATGCATATCTGAATGAATATGTGTTAACATCCTTTGCATCTGTCATTTTGATGTGTTTATTTTAATTTTTAAAAATTATTATTATTCTTAGGGCCCTCAAGGTACAAGAGGAATAAATGGTCTCCCTGGACCTAAAGGAGAGCCTGTATGTATATTTCATTTCTTCATTTGCTCCATGCCGTGCTAATTTGTATATCAGAGTGCTTGGGTAAAATATCTCCAACAGTACATTCTAATTTTTTTTAATTTTTTTTTTTTTTTTTCCCTTCAAGGGCTTACCAGGAGTCGATGGCCGGGAAGGGATCCCTGGAATGCCTGGAGCAAAAGTAAGGCACAGTTGGCATATATCTAAGCTTTGGTTATGCCCTAGATTTGTTCACTCATTTGTGGTTTTTTTATTGTGGTGCTCCCTATGGCTTTATGCACATTATTAGGGTAATTGAATGAACTTTCCCATCCTATAGATCCAAAAGTACTCCAGCTCTGTGTTCCAGAAATAGAATTCTCCCTTTTGTGTGATTTGCATAAATTACAACCTAAAGTATTTTTCAGGGTGAACCAGGAAAACCCGGAGCTCCAGGTGATGCAGGGCTTCAGGGACTGCCGGTAAGTATGTGGTATTTTACCTTTGGAAGTTAGGCTCACTTCATACCACAGAAAGGACATACATAGGTTAGTTTCATGCTGATGTTGGAGTAACTTAAGGGAAAACCTGGGCAAAAGGCCCAGGAAGAGTATGTATAATGCAAGGGGAAATTCTGCTATGTGCATCCAAAACTTTTACACAAAAGCCTAGATCTCCTTATGGTACCGTAGTGAGGAACTCAGTCTTACAAAATGTTTGTGGCTGGTATGCAGTTCTTTTAAGGTTTCTCATATCTGAGACCCTGTGGATATTATGGCGTGACCCCACATTTATTTGGAGCTGGTCTCGTTGTATTGACTAGGGCCAAACTGATTCCCAGGGTGAGCTGGAAGAGCCAACCTGCTAGTCTAACATACCTTAGATGAACAATCATCTCCTTTTGATATTCTACTGGCTCAGAACATCTGGAATGCATCATGCTCATGCTTCTTTCTGCAGGGGGGCGAGTTTTCTAGTGTATCCCCTGTGGTGAAGTTATGGGGAATCAATAGTGCTTTATGGATTTTTTTAGAAGGTAATCCTCCCACATTAACTGAATGAATTTGAAAACTGTGCCAATTGTCAAAAGCTAAATAGAAACTTCTTTGACACACTATGCGATAGGAGTAATTGCTGTGAGGATATAGTGAAGGAGCTGTATTAGAGCAAGTACATTCGTAATACAAAGTGAGCTCTTAAGCTTGGCAGAAAATGCCACAACTCCTCACTTTTCCATGCTCCTTTTGCTAATTTATGAAGTAGGAATAATACTCCTTATCTGTTACTTTGTAAATAGAAAGAATTCAATCTTGGTCTGTTACTGGATGAAAGTGCTTCAATATCAAGTAAAAGGACTAGAAATACTTTAATATAAAAAAGATGATTTTTAACACCATTTCCAATCCCCTTAACAACAAATAAACACTGTAAATGTTATTTCTTTCAGGGTTTACCAGGCTCTCCAGGTATGAAATGCATTCCTGGCCCAAAGGTAAATCATCTTGAGTATTGACTTTCTTATAATACTGTATTTGTGCTTATCAAGTTCTAAAGTATTCAGTGAAATTATATTAACTTTCCGTTGTGGTAAGAGACAAGCCTGTGGCTGAAAGAATTAAATATATTCTTTTATCAACTCTAGTCCTGTGCTTTTTCATAATTCTTTTGCCACGATGTGGTTTTCATGATTCCAAGTATTAAACAACACCTAAAAAAGGCCATTTCCTTTTAAATTTGTGAAAGTCCTTGCTAGAGGAGGCATGTGACATAGGTATCTCGCTACAGTTTGAAATGAGGGATCTAGTAATAAGATTTATAGCTGCACTATGTTGATTGAATCACAGAGATTGTAATCTTTATACCACCAAATTGCAGCATGAATTCCCAGTAAGTTTTAAAAAGTATTTTATGATTGAGACTATGGAATGTTTCAGAGAATAATGTTTGAATTTAGTTTTAAGTAATTGAAAAAGAAAACTAGATTGAGAGGTAAATTTCTTCTGAAATTATATGGAATGATATTAACCTGTGATTTGAGAGCAGCAATCAAATCTATTTGGGTTTTGTCAGTACATAAACAGCAAAAGAACTGAAATCTGACTTTTGAAAAATTATGTAGAAGAAATTAGGTGAAAGTTAAACAAAAACCAAAATAAAGATGGAAGTTAAAAAATGAATGCAGAATGATTTTTCCCCCCCCTAGACCTTACTGATTTCCTTGGTTTTTGTTTTAAAATAGAACAGTAAATCATTGGCTTGGCTAATATTTTTCATTCTTTGTCCAACAGGGTAATAGAGGTCCCCCTGGGGTGCCAGGTTTGATGGGAAATTCTGGTAAACCGGTAAGATCATTTATCTCATTCAAAAGATCTAGAAAAATGAAAAGTTTTGCATTGTGCAAAAAATCACTTTTCAGATTTGTTGTGTTCTTCCTATCCCCAAAACAGGGTGAACAGGGGCCAGAGGGAGAAGCAGGTCCAACAGGACCCCGAGGACCACCAGTAAGTATTGAATAAATTCCTAGCTGAGTGTATGTAATATTGCAGTGTCTCAAGTGATGGTTGCTGAAGCTAACCATGAGGTAAAAATATTATTCACCACAAGTGCTAATTTTTAAGGTAAAGACTAAGTGTTTTTTAACCCCCTTCTGTACCAGGTGGATGTGCATCATCACACAGAAATCCAGAAACACATGTCCTGTGACTGTTTCTGGCTTTGGTGATAAATTAAATTTTAAACTTTTGTTTATATCCTTCTGATCTTTGTTTTTAAATATGCTGAGGGAATGTATTTTGTGACAAAAAGCTGGAACCAAACTCCTGTCCTTCCACTGCAACAGTCAACTCCCACCATGTTGAAACCTTAAATTCACTAGCTGTCAGTAGATCACTTGCTCTTTTCTTTAACTGTTTCAGCCTCTCAAAGAAGCTTGTGCCGTACATTACAAGGCTTAGCTATATATTACAAGGTTTTGAACTTTGGACGAAGTATTCAGAGCATGATTTTTTTTTTTTTTGCTAGGACCTATTTCTAATGCATGTAATGTGAAGTGAGGGAAGGTATAAAGGAAAGGTAGCTGTCTGTCCTACTAGTAAAGAAAATGGCTAGAGACTGCAGCCTCCTTGGTCAATTGGCATGGTGTGGTTTGTCTTCATACTGCTCAACTCCCTTAACACTCTCTCATGTCTTAGAGCAGGCTGGGTGCAAACATGTTGCATACAGGAAACAATCTCTTGCCTGTGTTCACAAAACTGTTCTTGGGTATTATCTAGGAAAGTCCAGTTTGCCTGAGACAAAAGCATGCTAACCATTTCTCATGGATGGTGGTGGGATACTTGTTGGACCTGTGGCTTGACCCTTTCTGGTTGGCATTGTGAATATAGCTGTAGTGACATGAAGTATTGCATTTATCTCTACTTGGAAACACTGACGTTGTAACGTTGTAATTTCTTTCACTGGAGATTCTCCTTAACACTAGAAAGTTTTGAAAGACTAGAGAAAGTAGCCTGCTGCAGGAATACCAGAAAGTCTGCTGGGAACAGATTTCTGATTCCCTCTAGAGTGGGCCTGGCATGGATTGAAGTTACATAAGGCTGATCTAATTTCCCTTTGCTGTTAATCATTCTGTGAGGGATGAGAGGGTCAGTGATTGAAGAAAATTTTCACATACCAAAATTCAGTCTGATGACATTGATAAGGCTCCTGGCTCTGTAACCAATTGCTCTTGCAAGCTTCTCTCTTGCACTGATACCCTAGGGATAGTTTCCTGGAATTTTCTGAGCTTCTGCTATCATACAGTGACATAACAGTTCTACTCATGCAGTTGTAGGGTTATCCTCATACAGGGCTGAGAGAGTTACTGATGGGGATATATTTGTAAAAGTATTTCATGGGTCAGGAATATCTTCTCTGAATTAACTCTTAGACATACAGCAGCAATCAGCCAAATAACAGATTTTGTTTTCTTCTATTTTCTTCTGTGGCTTGCATTATCATGTGCTATATGCATTAATGCATGAAGTCACATTTATTTTAGACTGAATATTTGTGTGAGTGCTGTGCCCACAGATGCCTATGAGTGATATAAAAGGCAATTATATGTGCATATACTCACTAGGATGGAATACCGGTATCTTCTGCCTCCCATATACCCAACTTGCAAAACGTTATTTTTGTTGTTTGTGCTTAGAAGTGTTGGGTGCACGAGAAAAAGTTTTCAGCCCTGTTCTTCTTCAGCTGGTATTTGGTATACTTGTAACAGGAACAAGAGTTATAATTGAATCAGACCAATGTAATTGCCCACTCTGATAATGCACTGTAATCTGCTAAACTATGCTTTTAATCCTTTCAATGTGAACATGAATTTACAAAATCAGCAGTCCATAGAACAGGAGTTGACACTCAAGGTTAATTATTAGTAACCCTGTAGTCGGACAGAAATACTTAATGCAGATTAAATACAATGATTTTTCTGTTTATCACTCTAGAGACCAGCAAGACATCTGCAAGATATCTTGCCTTTATTTTCTTTGTCTTTACAAAAGTGCATTCATTTTGGAAAACGTGAACATTAGAACAAAAGCATAGAAAGAAAAAACTTTTCATCAATACAAAATGGAGAAAGGAAGTAAATTATTGATAATAAAGTAAGTTTGCATGTAGAACATTAAACAGTAATCTACTTCTGATCTATAGTTCCTTTAAAGCTATAAAGAGCCTTGAGTGTTTAGCTTCCTTCTGCTTGAGACTACAGGCATCATATGACTGACTGGAATGGCTTTGTGTTTTCTTTTTGGGAACACTGGAAAAAACATTTTGCTTCTACACAAAAAAACCTTGAATTATCAGCACTTTTTCTTCAGGAAGGACACAGGGTTGTATTGTTCAACTTCAGTGAGCTTTGGTCCAAGTTGAGTTTGTGTTTATTTTCAGGGCAGAACAGAGATTGTTTTCTCTGTCTTCTGCAGCATGTACGTGTAGTAGATATATTTGAGCCTCAGCTTTTAAGACTCTGCCCTTACATTTCCAGGAAAAAAAAATCTGCTGGTTAAATAATTCTACACACCATGATTTTCAAACTTTGAAAACTAGAAATTTTGAAAATAAGCTGAGAAAAGCTTTTATAATTGCTCCAAAGAGAGTTTTTGTTGTGATATTTTTTGTATTTTTTCAGATTTTGAAATTTTCTCATAACTTTAACATTTGATAGTTTCTAACCAAAGTTTTATAACCAAACACTTTCAAAGCCTGAGGATTTTATGGTTAGTATTCAGTTATTTTTCTTCTCTTTTTCCTTCCTATTTTGAATTATCCTCTTCAGCACTCACCTCAGTTATTTTCTTTCTTCTTTACCCTTTGTTCCATTTCACTCTTGGTAATAGAAGACTAAGGTAGAAGTCAAGAGGGGCTGAGCTTCTTCCTTGAAGTTGGAAAAAACTTTGATGTTTTGTAGGATATGGAGAACTTCAGTCCCTTAATGTATTGCTGCATGGCAGCAGTCACATGAGAGATCCTCTTTACTTTCCCATTTCACTTACCCCTGTTCTTCACGTCACTACTTGAGAAAGACAGCACGGCTGGTAGCTCCAGGAGGGCCGGAACTGTAGAGGAAAGGACCTCCAGTGAAAGTTCGTTGGGGAATAACAAGACTGACTCTGCTAATATGGACAGCAGGCTGGTATTTGCACTAGGTGAAAATAATATAACAGAAATATAGGTATGTTAAAAAATTGCCTGACTTTTCAGCTTTAGCTACTTGCAAAAGACATCTTTTTGAGAGAAAATTTTCATTTCAACTAGTGTGTAGTTTTTTGAGGAGTTACACAATGGAGTGCTATTAAGCAATCATCAATGACTCTGTGGGACAAATTGATCCTTTTATACTGTTTACCAAATAGCCTGTAGCATCCTCTGGCATAAACTATGTTATTTCAATGTTATTTTCACTATTAAACAACTGTTGGAATGTAGTTGGAATAGTATTGTTACTAAGCAGCAGATTCAAATTTTGGCCTTTTGCAAGCCTGTAAACATTTACAGTTTCACAGGAAAGATATTAAATGGTTGAAAACAAGATAACTAGCTCTAATTAAAAATAGGCAAACTCATGTGTTGGGAGACTCTTATCTCACTGCTGACAAATCACCCTCGGACAAAATTACTTTCAAAAGTACCATTTTAGTCTGTTACTGCTTTTCCTTAGAAAACTTAAGTTGGCAACTGAGTGGAAAAAAAAAAGTTTTACTTGTCTTTATTTAGTTTACTTTTCATCTGTTCAGTAAAACAGAAAAGCAACTGGAGCAACATGGAAATTTTGTCTTTTGTTTCTAAATCAAACATATTCTCTGTTCCTCTCTAATTGTTTTGTCGGTTAACCTTATGTTTGCTTTATGTTATGCTAGCCAATCCAAGTAATTACCAAACTCATTTGTGATTTAAACCCTTCTAAGCCAGTCATCATGGCAGGTGGCCCAAAGGAAGCAATTCTCAAACATCAGAGTGTCATTCCTAATCAGTGGAATTTAACTATACTCCCTAAGCTGCTTAACCATTTTCTTTCCTATTTGCTATGGTTTAGTAAGATTTAATTTTTCATATTGTGTCTGCAGAAAATACTGACCCTTGCCCCGCTTTTTTCATCCCTTGTTTTTCTTCAGCTATTTAACCTTTAAATTGCTAACATTTGGAGAACATGTATCCCATCCTGTGGTTTTGCAGTGAAAAGAGGCCTTAGAACATTTAAGTAACCATTTAACTTAAAGTTCAATACTTGCCTAGCAAACTGAGCAAACTCGATTTATATGCAGGCCAGCATATATACTTTGTTAAGGATTTAGGATGCAATACATGTTTTCCTAACTTTAGCAACAGAGGTTAAGTATCTAGCTGCCTAAGATTTGATACCGTAACCCCCCGTCGAGACTTCTGAGGGGCTGTGGTTGGTTGGGCTGACTTGCTCTCTGGAGGTGCCTTTGTCTCTCTACTCATTTTAAAGAAGGGAGCCTGGAGAGTACCTTGGATTTGGTACTAAAATGTCAGACAACCTGAAGTTAAATGAGAATACTGTTTTCAGCATCTTAAATTGCTTTCAGCTAAATAGCTTTCTGACTCTTTGAAGATATTTTTGTCTTACCTGCCCTGAAATGTATCTTTAGTTACCCTAAGAACTATAACTAAAATACAGCTTTTCTATCAAATTCTTTTTCCGTGACTCCAACTGAAATAATGGCTCATTTTCCATAGCTGGTATTGGTGTAGTGGTATTGGTAGTGTGATAGGATGAAATATCCTTGCCTCAGTTTATATGATGTGTTTAGATATTAGTGTACATGTTTTGGATATATAATTTCAGAGGTGTTCCTCAAGTGGTGAGTTATAGTTTACATTTGAGGTACAGCTAAAGGGGTTAGCATTGCACAGAATATAGCAGAGTCAAAAGAACGAATTAGATTTCCATCCTGCTAGGTATGCTTTTTATCCAGTAAACCTAAACCTCTAGATGTATGTGACTAAACTTTCTGACCTTGCATAATTCTGCACCATGGTTTGTACAGAGTAGCACTTCCTCCTGTTTCACTCATAGACTACACATCCCAGCCAAACCTGATTAGTATCTCCAAGCCTCTCCAGTTCTCATACTACCCATCCCTGTCTTTCCAAACTGCATGATCAGATTCCTGTCTGCTACCTCACTCTCTACCTCTCCACCTCCAACAACAGCTTCCTTTGACTTTTGAGCCTGCTAGACCTCTGGATGTCAGCAGATATCCCAATGCTGGCTTCTCCTAAGCAGTGTAGACAGTAACCTGGGTAAAAAATGTGCTTGTCGTGGAGTCAGTGTCCTAAAGCTGTCCTAGACTTCAGTTAACACTGTAGAAGCAGCCAGGATGAAAGGTCTCTGTCCTTTATACTTAGCCACAATATCCCCCTTGAAGAGAATGGCAGCTATGGGGCTGCTGCTTGCGCCCAAACCATGACGCAGTTAAGAGGAAGGTATGTTCATGCTGCACCTAACTCTTACCGTTATCCTGAGCAGTACAATTTAATTATTACTCTGAGAAAGGTGCAAAGGTACATTTAAAATATCAGAGAAAGTTTGCTGTATATTTACTCTTCTAGTAAATAATAGTTTATATTTTTGGATGCTTTTTGGTACTACACTGCAGGTCAAAGGAGGAGTCCTGTTGATGCTTCCATGGATAAATCATAGAATCATAGAATGGTTAGGGTTGGAAGGGACCTCAAAGATCGTCTAGTTCCAACCCCCCCTACTATGGGCAGGGACACCCTCCACTAGACCACGTTGCCCAAAGCCCCATCCAACCTGGCCTTGAACATTTCCAGGAACGGGGCATCCACAACTTCTCTGGGCAGCCTGTTCCAGTGCCTCATCACCTTGCAGTAAAGAATTTCTTCCTAATATCTAATTTAAATCTACCCTCTTTTAGTTTAAAACCATTACCCCTTGAACTTAAAATAATAATTCCTCTGAGATTTTGGATGAGAAAAAATTATGGTATGTTAAAGTCTTGCAAGCATATAATTGATAAATGGGTTACATTTTGCAAAAGACTTTGGAATACTGAGTTAAAAAAAGTTAATTCCAAAATGTACTTGATTTATTCTTTTTTATTCTGCACAGATTGAATTCTCTATGGCACTGTTATTGAATATACTAAAATTTTTATGACATATATTATAAACCCAAAATTCTTAAGTAGATAAGAGTTTATTACAGTATATGCTGTGAATTACCTGTCAAGAGATTCTAATTAGTGTTTCCATTATCTGGGCAAAGTCAGATGCAAATTACCTAGGGAGTATTCTCATTCTTCTTATGGTTCCACTCAATTGATCAACAGGAGATCAATAAACCAGCGAAAGAAGCTGTTTTAGCATGAGAATGCATTCTGTAACTGCTTGTGGGACTTCTACAAAAGAATCAAGTCTTCAAAATTTCAGTGAGGATGAAAACTATCCCAGACAACCTAAAGGAAGGTCTACTGTAAATCCTGTAATGTTCCCTTATGCATGTTACATTCAAAGGCTAAATATAGATCTAACAGAAGCGAGAGACAGACATTAGATCTTCATGTGAATGTATAGACTGGTCCAGCAATCCTGCCTTGGAACAAAGGAAAGGTAGATTTTGTTGTAACCGCAGTCTAGCACATCGGCTGTGGAAGGGCTGTATCCTGGTACTGTGCAGTAGTGTGGTGCTGTACTATCATTTCACACCCTACCATTTCACGTGTGCCTTCTCGTCCTTTGGGAGAATGACCCTATCCTCAGCAGTACTTGCATGCTAAGTGATAGCATACCTAACAGAACTCAATTATCTATACTGTTGAAGTACTGGAGCCGTCCTGGACATGGTTTTGGTCCACACTGTCTATCATTGATGGAAACAATCTCTAGGCAGTGGCCAAGCTTTGGAATACTTCAGGGGCCATTTGCAGTGACAATCTGCATGCTGCCTCCCTTCATTGTAGGTCAGGAAAGTTTACCAGTTATTGACAACCCTTTCTGTGAAGAAATTTTTCCTAATATCCAATCTAACCCTCCCCTGGCACAACTTGAGGCCATTTCCTCTTGTCCTGTTGCTAGTTACTTGGGAGATGAGACCAACACCCCCCTGGCTACAACCTCCTTTCAGGTAGTTGTAGGGAGCGATAAGGTCTCCCCTCAGCCTCCTTTTCTCCAGACCAATTCCTGATTGTTCTTTGGGTTATAGTTCTCTTCTTGCTTGCTAAAATGCAACTCCTGCAGATCTTGCAGTCGTGGCCCTTAGTTTGACAGTATGTCGTAAGGACAGATTGCTTCAATGTTTATGGGAAATACTATCTTTTTGTATTCCAGTCTTCTGTATACTAACCTTCTTTTTTACCACCTTAGAAAAGCATTGGTGTTTGAAAAAGGGCCTGCAGTGTCAAAATTCTTTGACAAAAGAATTTTTTGCATTTAAAATAAAATAGAAGTTTTTTCTTGCATTCTGTATGACCAGCAGAACCTTTGATGTGCTTAAGAGGTTTATTTAGGATTTTAACTCTATGGAAGGTGACATTGCTTTTGTTTTATAGCTGTATAGCAATCAGACATGAGTATTTTGACATATATGAGGAGACAAGTTTCTAATACTGATCATAATTTTAATCCTTCTCTTTCCTGCATCAGAAATGTAGTATTATTCCAGGTCAGAGATGTAGTACAGAATTATGTGATTAAATAACAGATTTTCAAAAAGGTTAATGATCTTCTGGATTGTAAGATGAAGGTGATTTGAGGAGCTTTTTTCTTTTTTCTTTTTTTAACATAAAAAAGCTTCTAGAAATTATACAGAGTGCTTTAAAAAGGAGAGTGATTTTTAACACCATAGGATATTTTGAAGGAAAGGAATGGAAAAATCTGTTTATGTTTGGTTCTGTGATCTCTCCAGGATACCTAATTATTTTTTGAATTGTGGAGTTACTTTTCCTAAGCTTTTGTGAGAAGTTGTCATTGCATTTATGACCAGGTGTAAGAGGCCGTGTCTGCCATCTCCTTTTGTTGTTCTGCATGTCACAATATTTCACAATATTTTTCTTATTATGAAGAAAATATTTATATTTTAAATTATCTATTGTATACAGCACTAGAATGCTTAGATCTGCTTTTACTCAAAATTCTTGAAGTTGTAGATAACAAGTTATTATCTAGTTACATATCTAATAACTTCAATTCCTGATATTTTACGAACTTATATCATGCTATATCATGCTTTTATAGCAAGTACCCCTTATGTATTCACACAATGTAAGAAAGAAAAGTGTCTCAAGGGAGACTTAGACTTGTGTTGGGACAGTGTTTAAATTTATCTGTACAAGTGAAGGTAAATGTATAAAACTTACTGAGCTGTTCTGAAAGGCTTAATCATAAGAAACAAAACCCTTTTGAGAAAGGGACTTTAGTTCGAAAAATGTTTAAAAACTTTGGAAAATTTCACTCAATATCAGCTTTACCCAGAGTATATATTCAAATGGCTGCATTAAGAGATGGAGTTATAACACTAATGTGAATATGATAATCTGAATGGATAAACACATCTGAAGCAAAGATGTAAAAATCCAGTAAAAAGCATAATTGTACTCATCACTGTTAGGAATGGGGATTTTTAAAGGTCTAGACTTTTTTTTTTTTTTTTTTTTTTAGCCTAAATGAGTTTGTTAAGCATGACTTCTGCACACACTTTTCACTTTTGTCCATTGTTCATGTGGGAATATGGGCTTTTAAGTATCTGGTCTTTTGAGAGTTCAGCTGATGAAACTAAGCAAAAGCCTAAAGCTAAGCATGTGTGTCAGAGTTGTCTTAGTGAAGTAATGTGTTCGTGACAGGTAACTCTGAGGTGCGATCCCATGAAGGGGACTTGATTAACTGAATCATTTAATGCCAACTAAATGTTGTATGCCATTGTTAACTAAAAATGTTTCATTTCTCAGGAAGTTTCACTATTTTTAATACATGTGATAATTTTGCATTAATAAACAGAAGTCTTGATTAAAGCCAACTGCTAAGTAGTGTAATTCACTGAACATTAAGGAAAAAAATCATACTTTATTCCCTGTTCACAGGAAATATTTCAGGAAGTAATGATGTTCTTCTATTTCCTACAAGGGTAGCAGAGGGGAGCCAGGTCCTGCGGGTCCTCCAGGTTTACCAGGGAAATGGGTAAGCAATTTATTTCCATATTCAGTGCTCATGTTTACTTTCAAGGAGCTATGGTATCATCTGGAACTACACTTACCAATTTATCCATGCAAGGAACTGAAAATAACATTGAAATGAGTGATTGTTGAGTTTCTTTTTCAGTCCTCTGTGACTGTGCTAATATTAGCAAATACTGTTTTAAAGTATATGGAGATGTGTGGGACTTTTTCTTCTGTTAAAAACCCATAAATCCTGTGATGTGCAAAGTTGGGTTTCGCACTCCTGTGTGGGCTGTGTGTACTTGGGGAACAGGAGCAGTGAAAGACTGGCTTTCTGCTAACAGCCATGTGAAACTAATGAATGGAGCAGATTATGAATGCCACCTTTTACCAGTGCTCCAGCAGTATTTACACAGTAACAGTCAGAAGCATAGCTGGGGAGGTTTTGGCTGAAAGAGCCTGCTGTTACAGAGGAATGTGCAAATCACAGAGTGCAAGATCTTAGGAAGCAGTTTTAAGAGAACGAGACTGTTGTCGAGGGACTGGAGAGTGGAAAGCCCTGTAAGCCATTTCTGTTGTGTTTGTCAGCAATAAAATCATAATAAGATGCTGTTTAAAGAGCTGTATTTTGGGTCATCTCTATTTTCATCAGATAATCCTCTTTCATCAAGTTAGGACTATTCTGGGAATAAGGTTCTGCCCCATCTGCTTGTCAGGGTGTGACCCTTAGTTGTTCATACTTGAACAAACTGGGTAAGTTTACTCCCTTGACTTATTTTCACAGGGTCCCCAGGGTGATATTGGACTTCCTGGACTGCCAGGTCCTCCAGGCCTACTTGGTGGTAAGGGTGACCGGGTAAGAAATGTACTCATACATACAGACTGCAGTTTGGTGTCGGGAGTAAATACAGTAATTTGAACGTTGTTTGCAGTTTTTACGTGAATTAATATCTGGTTTCTTGTTTTGTATATAGATCTGTTAACTGCTGGAAAGTAGTGCTCTAGGTGCCCATTAACTACTTGTAGCTCATAAAATATACAGGAAAAATCTTGACAGTGTTACTTAAGGGACTGAAATAAGATTACTGGCATAAATATTTCCTTTTTTTTTTTTTTTTCCTTTTAGTTTGACATTTAAAGGCCTAAATCATATTGCAAATCATTGATCAGCCAACTCTGAAATTGTAAGTCAGGGTCTCTGGTCACTAAAGAGCTTTGGAACTTCAGCCCTGGTCTACAGTAGATACAATGCCTTTTATGTACGTGTTAGGACCTGCTATGGAAATGCACAGGCAAATGCAGCTATTGAGATACCTGTGCATATGTGCACAATTACAGAATAAAAGTACCTCTTCTAGTATTTTGTTAGGAGGGAAGAACTGGGCCCTGGGGATCTCACATACCTGCAGAAGATACCTTGCTTTGCTGAATATATGCCAGTGAAGACTATATATATATATATATATAAAGCCCACCATGTTCCTTATCTTCTCTTGCTTATAGGAAGCTACAAAGTGGAATTCACTCACCAAACTTCAGACATCTTTGTTATGGAAATAGTCAGTTCTACACTGTGTTTCATCCTTCTTATTTGAAACATATACTTCAGTTTTAAATGAATTGCACTTTTGAAGTGCTTCTTACTTTCCCCTGACAACCAAGGAAGCATAGGACTGTTAGTGAGACATAGGTATCACTGCTGTAGATGTCTTCAGTTGAACAGAGGAATCCTGCCCCTGGTGTGCTCCCTGTATACGTCATAGCGTGGCTAGATAGAGCTTGCAATTGTTTTTGGCAGTTTTTAAAAGCTGCTCAGATACTTAAAAAAAGTTTCTAAGACAGTCTTTGTTGTTGTTGAGGTATTTCTTAGGTGGGTTGGTTTTTTTTTAATGCTGATATCAGGAACATATGTTTCTAGTCAAATGTAAGTGTTGACAAAAAGCAGTCTCTTTTTATTAGATTGGTAATGATTCATACTTTAGACTTTTCCAGAGGGAGATTGAAGTTACCTGAGGAAGCAAATCTGGAAGGAAAATAACTAGTATTCGTCGCAGTGCTGACAATCTCCTTCCAAAGGTGCCTGATTTTCTTGTTACCATATAAAGGATGTGGACCTCTAGGATAAGAGCAGAATGTGGATGCAGTAAACAGACCCAATGAGATTCAGGCTACACCCAGGAGGTTTCTGTTTGTATAACTGTCAGATGACAGTTTCTTATGCCTGGAGCTTTTTTAAATTCTAGGGTCAGTTTAATGCCCTCTGCAAATACCTTAAAGTCCAAAAAGCTATGCTAGCAATTACCTCATCCTGCGATTGCTTTTTAGCTTTCCTGTTTTGAGACCAGTGTCAACTGGATCCACTTGTATCCTTGATTCCTTTTTTTTCTTCAGTCACATAGAGGCTGGAGTGAATTTTCTGGGGCAGGCTTAACATGACTGCAGCTTTGCCAGCAGTGCTGATCTGCAGTATGTATGCCATGTCACAAGCCTAGAGAGCATTGTACCACTCTATCCTTTCTCTACCTTGTTCAACTTGCAACTACATCTGTCTTATACAGAGCCAAACATCCTTGTCAGGGTTTGGAAACAGGTATCTCTGTAGCCTGTTAACCCTAGTCTTTGGGTCAGCCACTGCTATCAGTAAGTTCCAGACTGAAGTAACCTTTCTTCCCATCCTGATTTCAAAACTTCATGGTTTTGTACACAGGGATCCTATAAAGTTCTGTTATGAAGCCCATATATGCATGATAAGATTTAATGTAAAGACCAACCAGAAGCCAAGTAGAATTCACAAAAAAACGTATTTCAGTAGTCATTCTTGATCCCAAAGCTGTTAGATATTGGGTACTATCAACTTGTCACATGTGAGCGATTTTGACCGCTTAAAGAACCACTGCTGAAGATATCAGCAAAAGTGGTTTTATTGAAGTAAGATGTTGTAAAAGTGACACAAAGTTTGATGGCAAGGTTAACTCTATTACTTATTGCAGAGGATATAATAATGATTCAAAGTTACCAACATGAAATCTTAGTGCACCCATAATGCAAGGTTATGCGTGGTGTCAGTTGCTTACCAAAGATCTGTAGTTGGTAAGGGGTCTCTCAGCCTCGAGGAGTAACCTTCAGAGAGAGGTGTCCCAGCTTAAGGGGAGATCACTGCCATGCAGCCAACTGCTTCGCAGAGCGGGCTTGAAAAAAGCTCACTCAATCTGTCATATTTATGGAATAAAGTGATGGGCTCGTAGTCAGATTATCTGCGATGGAAAAGGTAAGCATGAGACTCCTTGTACTGACAAATTTCTTTGTTCCTTGACAAATGAGTCTTGGAAGAACCACCTGCTATTCATGTGTTAATCACATGGTTGGTGTTCCAGTTTCCAAGCTCATATGCATCAGTGTTCACCATGTCACCCTGTTCCTGTGTGGATTTTCAGAGAACAGGTTGGAAGTAGGGAAGTTCTTGGCCCAGTTATGGCCTAGGCCTTTGCTTCCTTTTGAACCAGACTGCCACTAGTTTGGTCAAGGAGTCGAGTGCATCCATCACACTCCACCCTATGATTACAGTCAATCCACTTTATTGACTCATAGGGGGGTAGTACAATTACCTCTTGCCTCTATGCCATAAATCTGTGGCGTATTGCAGATCAGTGGTAAGGGTACAATTATCTGATGAGTTGATTAGCTTAAGCATTACGATTAATGCTAATTATATACCATTGCACATATACAATCAACTGATTCTGCATGTTTTACATGTTAGATTAACAGAATTTGTTTCATTATTCACCAAACTCTGATGTACAGAATGATTATGAGCAATAAACACAGTAAAGTCAGAACTAACAAAACTACAACTGGATATAAAATCAAATTCAAAGCTCCATTTGATGTTGGTGAGCATCCAAGGAGAGTTTCCCACCAGGGGTGTTCTCCGTCTTTTTTTACCCTTTCTAGGACGTGGTCTATCTTCTCTGTGTCATGATAGATGGTAATCAGGGTTCTTTGTCTGTTGTTTCAAATTTGTTTTAGCAATTGACATGGGTCATCATGTTGCAACAATTTTCTTACCAGTGTGAGATTCATTCCAGTGGGGGTAGGTAATAAATCTTGATACAATGTATAGTTAGATTGTAACAGGAACTGAATATAAATGACAAACATTTTGTTCAGTGTCAAGACAAATGTCATGGATCTTAATAGTATTACTTTCACAAATAATTCCTTGTTGTTCCCATACGACACGTGCATCACATCACCAGTTTGCTATTTGTTCCCATTTTGTTGGGCCCATGCTCTATGTTCTAATGGGTAGAGAACAGTTCCAGTGTGATTTAATCCCAGCACAATGTGTATACCAAAGCATTGCGTATTCTTAAAACAACGCTTTACTGTTGGTGGGCTCACAAGTGAGATTGATTAGACACAACAAGATTGGAAATTCTTTTTGAATTGAGTTGCATTTTCCCAAATTACCTTTCAAATCTCAGTGGGCAAGGTGTCCTCATTGCCGTTTCTTATAATTGCTGCTATAGTAGATTGCACCCATAACCTAGCTTGGATACAGCTAAGGGCTACAGAGACATTATTCAGGGCAACACCAAGCGCGTCTGCAGTTAGCTGATGGTCCTTCTTGTTAGTTCTTTCCCATTTAGGCAGTATATCAGATAAAAGCCATTGACTACTTCATAGTGAGAAGATCAAAATGGATGTTCTAATTTATGCAAGTCACTCATTGCTGAGCTTAATTTGTTTGCTAAAACTTCAGCATCTATGCTGTTTAATACTCATAAACTTGTTCCTGGGATGCCGGTCACATCTCTCCTTGTTCATTTTGGAGAGGTGAAGGTTTGCCTGTGCAACCATGCTAACCATTCTGTATAGGATGTATTTAGGAATGTTGAGCAGGTAGGTTTAATTGCAGAGATAGTAACCTGCATTGATAGTTCCACTCATCTGAGGGACTATGATGAATGAAATAGTACTTGTTGCTGGTCTGTATATTTAATAGCATAGAGTCCCATTTCAGAAATCAGTGGATATATAGTTTGGTCAGTTGTGAGAGTAATAAAATAGGGACTAGGCTAATAGCAGTAGGGGTAGCTGTTGGTGTAGAGTGAGGATCTGGGAAGAGGTATTAGCGTGACTTTTAAGGATAGTCCATTTCAGTTATATTTCCCTGTATCTGTCCACAGACGTACTGCTTCTATAGTTGTGTCGTTAAAGAGGAAACTAATTAAACAACTGGGGCGTGAGAAACAGTTTGCTCTGCCTTTTGATTGAGTTTGATTTGTGCTCTTAATGACCATGTAGGTGCTTCCCTTTGAATAATTTGTTACGTTACATTCAATAGAGATTTTGTCAGCTGACCCGCCTCCAGAAATAAAGTGACTTTTATTTGCTTTTACCATGGTGTGATTACCAGTGATTGTCATCATTAGATTTTGTCTTGGTTTTCCTGATATTCCTGTATTCCCATCATTTTTAAACATATATGGTGCAGAATGTACTATAATTACTGTATCAATTAGCATAAACAAAAGAATCTGAGGTTTCCATCCCTTGTGTTGGACGTGTTGACATGTGAACTGTATTTTGTCCATTCTAATGATGATTACTCCTGTGAGAAGGATAAGCAATCCTCCAATGGTTAACCTGATCTCCAAGGGAGGTGTGCTGGTATCATTCCTGGTATCGTTCCTGAAAACAAAAAACAATACAAGTCTCAGCAGGATTTTTCTGGGCTGGTTATTCCTTCCAGTTGGTGGCTAGGATATATCCACCTAGTGTTAATAGGATGTTTAGCTCCGTTGCTGTCTTCTGCTTCCCAGGCCAAAGGGCTACGGGATTTTGTTAGTG